GCTTCCTGGATGTGTAGCTGATATTACTTTTGGGAAATTCTCAGTGAATGTTTCTTCAAATGTTGGTTCTGTTCTTTCTTCTTTTGGTGTTCCTATTACACGTGCCACACCTTTTGTATCTGCTCCATAGCTCTTAGCATGCCTTGTAATTTTTCTTTGATAACCAGACAAGATATACTGGATAAAAGGAACTGCAGTAAGTAGGGCTTTAGTGATATAATAGGTGTTGGGGAGAGTAGGGGAAGGAGTGTTCCATGGTCCTGTGATTAGATCTCAGTCTTTTAGTGAGTCTATACCATTTGACTCTGAACTTCATGGTTTTCTCCCCTTAGATGGGACAGGATGGCTAGATGGGGCTGGAGTTTTTTATTTTTCTTCCCCAAAGGAAAGGCTAGAAAGTGCTAAAGTTGGATATTTCTCTTCTTCTGGGTCACCAGTCTCTAATAAAACCTCAGTAACATAAGCTCTGAGAAAAAATATTTTCTCTTGAAGAGCAGGCCTTTTTCAGAAAAGAATGCTCTAAGTGTAGTTCACAGTGGGTATATTTCCTTCCTCCTGCCAGAAGCACAGGGGGATTTTTCTCAGATCTTCACTGTGAGAAGCTGGTGTAGTTCCTGAAGATAAAACTCACAAATGTGTGAGGGCCCCCCTTCCGTGACTCTCTGACTTGTCAAACACTGAACCCCCACAGTTTGTTAATTACATTTCCAGTTTTCCTACCCTAGCAGTGGCTCTCATGGAGGTTTCTCTTTGTGGGTTTCTGATCCAGAAAATTGTGATTTTCTGTACCTGGGCTATCTGTCTCTCCAGTTTTGCCCTGTGAACTTACTAATATGATGGATCTAAGAAGAGTTGGTTTTTCAGTTTGTTCAGCTTTTTACTTGCTGTTAGGACAGAGTGAAGACTTCCAAGCTCCTAACATTCTGAACCAGAAATTGGGCCAATACTATCCTTTTATAGTCTTTTCTCTACACTGCAGGCAGCCATGGTGTCTCTCAAAAACACAACTCTGATTAGATCATGTCTCTAGTTGAAACATCCCATTAACTATAGCATAAAATCCAAACTCCATGATATTAATAACAAGGTCTTCGTTGTTCAGCCTTGGTTTATTTTTCTATACTAATCTTTTATATTTTTACCTTACTGCTATGCTGAGCCATTTTGCACTTTATCCACTTTTTAGTATCCTGTATTCTCTCTCTTTCCCTCCTTTCACCCTTTGCTTGCCTAATACCCACCAAGTTTTAAGGTTTTACCTGATAAACCATCTTTCTTGGGACAGCCCACTTTGGCTTTCCCGAGACCTGCCCATATCACCTTCCTGAGTTTTTTGTGGTATGGAATCACAAGTGATTAGCAGAGTAGATACAATTAAAGGCTTCCGATATAATTTATTGGCAGACTGAAATATTTACTATGTGTGTAGTAATTATGAAAGACCTCCTAAAGCTTTTGCCAATTGTGTTTCTACTTGACAGTTAAACTCCCATATGGAAAAATTATATTATGGAGACTCTTTTGAAGGATACTGATACAGTTTGGCTCTGTGTCCCCACACAAATCTCATGTTGAATTGTAATCCCCGAGTGTTGGAGGAGACTCCTGGTGGGAGGTGATTGCATCATGGGGATGGATTTCTCCTTTGCAGTTTTCATGGTATTGAGTGAGTTCTCATGAGATCTGACGGTTTAAAAGTGTGTGGCACTTCCCCCTTCACTCTCTTTTTCTCCCCACTACTGCCATGTGAAGAAAGTGCTTGCTTCCTCTTTTGCTTAGCTGTAATTGTTAGTTTCCTGAGGTCTCTCAGTCATGCTTCCTGTTAAGTGGAACTGTGAGTCAATTAAACCTGTTCTCTTCATAAATTACCTGGTCTCAGGTAGTACTTTATAGCAGTGTGAGAACAGTCTAATACAGATATAGAGTCCATTTGTTTATAATGTTCATCGTTCCTACATAGAGTCAAATAAGCAAAATTGTTTACCTGCAGAGTAGCTACCTGCAAGAATTAGTACCCAAAACAGTTCTCAGTGACTTCCCAAGTACTCTTTGGTCCCATATATTTTAAATACTGGAGAAAAACATGTAAATTAATAAATTGAGACTGTGATTTGTATAACAATCTCATGTGCATTTGGTTAGTTTGAGTTAGAGGCTATTCTCATGGATACATTAAGTCAAATTTTTGAACTTATAATGCATGTTGAGGTCTAAATACTGTCATTTAGAGGCCCTGATTACCTTAATCCTAAATATATTACATGATAATTATACTGAGGTTCTCTTCTTTGTCACAGGTGCTAACAAATTATTGGGTATTTGTTTCCCTCTACTTTACGTCCTTTTCCACCCCACCCACCCAAGTGCGTCTAATTGAATTTAAATGTTTAATACACTTACAATGCTGTGTTACTCTATAGTTGTCCACTCAGTTGTTTATTACATATTTATCAATTCTGAATAAGTCTTAGGAAATTCAAGCTATTGCTAATGAGAATTGTTTTGTGCATTTTGATTGTGTGATATCAAGGATTTGTTCATTAGTAGGATTTGTTGAGTTTACTTTCTTTTTTCTTTTCTTTTTTTTTTTTCTTGAGACAGAATCTCACTCTATTGCTTAGGTTGGAGTGCAGTGACGTGATATCTGACCACTGCAACCTTGGCCTCCAGGTTCAAGGTATTTTCATGCTTTGGCCTTCAGAGTAGCTGGGATTACAGGTGCGTGCCACCACACCTGGCTAATTTTTGTGTTTTTCTTCAGTAGAGACAGGGTTTGACCCAGTTGGCCAGACTTGTCTTGAACTCCTGGCCTCAAGTGATTCACCTGCCTCGGCCTCCCAAAGGATTACAGGCATGAGCCACTGCATCTGGCCCGTTTATTTTTTAAGAACTTATATTCAGTAATTTTTTAGTGGTCAAAGGACATGAAGTTAAAGGGTAGTATGTTTAGAACTGGCTTTATAACTGACTTGGTACCTAAACCAAAGAAGAAAAACTAGCATGCTTTCTTTGCTTATTTCTCAAGAAATGGGGATTGTGGTAATTACCTACTGTCTGATGTGTTTTTAAAATATTCTTAATATTTATGAAGAAACATCGAAATATCCTAGTTGTTATGGATGTGTAATGAGTTTTTTATTTCACATAGACTTTAGGTTTCATGTGAGGACTGGGTTTGCATCTTACTCAGTTTTTCATTCCCAATTTCTGTCAATGTATTTGCCATGTTGAATACAAACATTGAACAATTCTGTATGTATTTGATGAATTATTTTAAATAATCTTATATCTTGTTTTCCAGTGCTTTTATTTCTGACATTTATTTAAATATTTTAGTTTTGGAATGAAAATGAACATCGTTGATGACAGGAAAATAGGAAAATAAGTGATTTGAATACAGTTTGTTTTGGGATATGATAATGCAATAAATAAAGTCTAAAAGGCACACTTCATATTTGAAAACAGACATGATTTTTCTTGTTATAGACTATAGAACCTTTAAAAATTAATAGATATAGTATTTGAAGATAGGTAAAGAGATTTTTAAAGCTGTATTTTCCAAATCAGCTCTTTAGGTGCTGGGAATGTAGCTGATCGTGTTTTGGCTCAGCTCTTAACAGAAATGGATGGGATTGAACAGCTAAAGGATGTGACCATTTTGGCAGCTACTAACCGCCCAGATAGGATAGACAAGGTAAGAGAGAAGCCATTGTGGATATTATAAAATCAAGAACTGGCTTGTTTGATTTTATCAGGTTTTTGTTTTTGTCCAATTACTTTCTAATCAGTTTTTCATTTAGAGGATGTTGAAGAGTGTAAAGCAGGTTCACTGTGGACTGGTTACCATCTTCTCTGAGTAAGACAGAACATTCTTGCATACAGGTTATACGAAGCAAGTTTCCCAGTTATAGATGGGCAGCAAGATACAGTAGAAGCCTAGGATTCATTGCAAGCCAGTCTCTCAAGGCTCAGGAAAGCTAACTCGGGTGAATGGAGTCTTGGCTGCATGTGCTTTGCTTGCACTGCAGCTGAGGGCCCCTGGAAAGCACCATGTTTTGGGTTTTATATACTGAGAATGTGAGACTCATTGGGCACAAGAGCTAGAGGACATCCTGTTTCTAGGGGAGGACTGGAGCAGAACCTGGGCTGTTCCATCCAGTCCCTCCCCATCTCAGGATGTTGCATTTCCTGCACATGCTACAGTTACTCTTGCGAACTACAAGGAGAGAGAGAGACTGGGTCAGTCCAAGACCACTCAGGGAACTGTCCTACAAAGGATCTTAAACTAATAGAAATGAAGAGAACAAAGAAAAGCTTTATTTACATTTTTATTGCTTATGATTCATTATTAGTGAAACTATTTCATAACTCTTCAGTATCCCCCATTTTGTATCTTTTAGCATATTTCTCTAGGGAATTGAAGTTTGAAATTCTTTGTTTCATCTAATTTATTATTCCAGAGTTTTCATCATTTTCATCTATTTGAAGGTACATTCTATCTACTTAGCTAGCACTAGTTAGACACTAGTTACTATCAACACAGTAACTTTGAAGAAATATTGTCCTAATTGTTGTTTTCAAAATAATTAGAATTCTTCTATTTTTTTAAGAAGTTACTCAGGCTGTCACATTAAGTAGTATAGGTGCAAAACCAATCCTTTCAAACTATTACTACCACTTTTTCCCTAGGTCATCATTTAATAAAGGAGTTAAGTAATTTAAGTGCTTCATTTATATCTAATATGTAATATTTTATAAGGATTTAGGTTGGGAGTAAACATTTGCTCTCAGAGCATGAACCAGTTTCTCTTTTTTGTTATTGTCAGCATTATTGCCTCATGTGGGACTTTATGAGCTACTTTCTTCCTGTGCATGTATACACATACTTTCAGTTTTTAAAATGTGATTTTTAAAAAAGACCCCTTTGACTGGAACTATTATGTGGTAAGAAAGCCTTGCTTTGGTTTGGTTAGGTGTTTTGCTATGTGATAAAGATCCTTTGGTCAAATGCAGGAAAGCTTTGGATCTTAAAAAATCATTCCCTTATTGATGCAATACTTTATTAGAAGATAGGTGAGTTCTGAGTATTTATAGAATCTGGATTGGTGTTAAGACATCTCTGAAGTCTATATAAAGGTTGGGACTTTATATGAACAAGGACTGTAGAAACTGCTGAAGGAGCCATTAAAGTTTACCTAGTTCTGCCTCTGGTTTCACAAATAAAGGTGGTGAATCCAGAAAAATCTTTCTTCTGGTAAGAATTAATTGTATTTTTATGACGTTTGTTTCCTGGTTTCCCGGTGGTTAATGAGCTCTAAAATGTCTTCGGTTTCTTGTCATTAAAGCCTAATCTGCTAGTAGCCTTCTTTAGTTTCCTAATGTTGTGTCCTTGATATTGTTGTACTGGCCCGAGCATAGAAAGTCAACACCAAGACAAAAGTATGCCAAATTGCAGTGTCTTCATTGCCAGCGTCCACGGAGGACTCGAGTCTCTTCAGCCTGTGGCCCTGAAAGGAGGGTGTCAAGACCTTTGATACCTGTAAAACCACCTCAGGAGTGAGGGTGAGGGGCAGGGGTGGGGGTGAGGGGCTTCAGATGTTCTGAGGGCTAGTGGATTCTGTAAATCACCCCCTGGGCGGGGATGAGGGTGAGGGGGTTCTGGACATTCCAGTGGATTCCTGGGCGAAGATAGGGTGAGGGGCTCCGGACACTCCAAGGGCCAGAGGACTTTTTGGCATTCTGGTTGTTACTTAAGTGGTTGACAAAAGTCAAGATTAACATTTGTTTACACATTATCTGGGTAAGGTGGCGATTATAATCCTTAATTACTTATTCACATTTGGGTTATAGAAAGCAGTTTCAACAGAAAGCTGAGATATGGTTGAGGTATGCAGTTTTATGGGGCTTTTTACCATGTCACAATATTATATATATTTCTTCAAGTAGGATTTAAGGCTTACGATAAACGTAACTGCATTTTTCTAAATCAAGCTGTCTGACTTGGTCTGTTTAGTGCTTGTATTGTTGTTTTCTTGCTGTGTAAGAAGCAAATTTGTGGTACTTTACCACAAATTTAGCAGCTTCACACCCATTTATTCACATTTCTTAGGTTAGAATGTGGGCACAGCATGACTAGTTTGCCTGCTCAGGATTTAAACTAAAGACTGAAAACACAGTGTTGGGTAGTCTGCATTCTCATTAGGAGCTCATGTTTCTAAGCTCATGTAATTGTGGCATAACTCACTTGTGACTGCAGGGCTGAGGACTAAAGACTGAATTTCCTTACTTGATATCAGCTAGGAGCCACTCTCAGCTCCCAGAGACTACCAACATTCCTTGCCACACGGCCCCCTCTACCATCAGAAACAGCAATGGAATGTTTTATCCCTGTCACACTTCAAATTTATTTTGCCAGGAGAAGCCCTGTCCTTTTGGATGGCTCATCTGTTGAGGTTAAGCCTTATCGAGGAAAAATGTCTGGACCTTGAAGTCAGCTGATTCAGGATCCTACAAAAGCCCTTCACAGTAGCATCTAGATTAACATTTGATTGAATAATTGAAAGAAGATATGTTTCTATCAGGGTGATAGGGGACAGGCTGGCCCCACAATTGGGACTTAGGCTGGGAAGCTTCTTGGCTACACCCAGGAAAGGATTCAAGGGCCCGGTGGTGGTGTTAGACAGCAATCTTTTATTGATTGGTACTGCTCCTTGTGGTGCAGGGCTAACTTATAAGCAGCACACTCAGTTTGCCCACTTTCAGTTACATGCAAATTAAAGGGTGAGTTAATACAAATTGATTTTAGGAAAGGAGTGGGAACTTCTGGGTCACTGCCATGGAAAGGGGTGTGATAACTTTTGAGTCACTACCGTGACATTTGTCAACTGCCATGGTTCTGGTAGCAGTGTCCTATGCCAGTGGGCAGTGAGCACAGCTAGAGATCGCTTTTGTTGTATCTACTGGTTTTGGCCAGTTTCTTCACTTTGCCCCATCCAGACTAGATCCTGTTTTGTTCGGCAGGGTTGTCACGAGAAAACAAGTCCTGTTGGTCTCCTACCTCATTTCCTCCCCATAAGGAGAATGAGGAATGCCTCCTTAATCTTAAAGGGCTGCCTAAGGTCACAGGTCTGTCTTCTGTAAGTGCCTCCTGCTGATTTTATGACATAGGCTCTGCCTAGCATGGGAGGAGTAAAAATCTCTGGATAACTGATCTAAAAGGCCCAACGGCAGATTGTTTTCATTTTCTGGGTCAGATGATAAGATGGGTTGGAAGCCTTGTGCCAGCATCATCTTTATGTAGACTTTAAAAGATATAAACTTTACTAGGAGGTTAAACAAGAAAATTGGAAGAGAAAAGTTAATGCTCCCATGCCCACTTACATCATCACATTATTTATCTGTGTGTTTGTGAAATAATAGCTTTAAGTATTCTAGAGTTTTGTTAAGTATTGCTCATGGTGTCTTCCTCTTATGCCTGCAGGGACTTACAAGAAATAGGTTTAATCCTGGACAGGTGTGCCCAGCTAGTGATTATCTGATGTTTAACAGCAGTGGAGGCCCTTAACAATACCTGATAGAGGTCCTTCTGTTTTTAGTTGTAATTGATCATCTGGGGATCTTTAAGTTTTTAGTAAGACTAAGTCTGGCTGAACAGGGGCTATTTTTTTCTTTGTGGGAAAGGGCAACACTCTATTTTCATAATTCTGAAAGGCCTTTTGAACCTAGCCTAAATTCTAAGGGCAGGTGTGGCATAGTGAAGCATGTCCAGCCCCTCCCTATTTCCCATCATGTTCTGAATTAGTTTTTTTTAGGTTTATATGGGATTTCCTTTGGCCAGGGAACTCATAAGTCAAAAGACTTATAACCAGTTAAACATTTTAGGCAGAGGGGAATGGAGGTGGCTTAAAACTCTTTTAAACAATATAGTAGTCAAATATTAAAAGCCAAAAATAAGGCTATATATCAAGAAAAACCAAGAGCATAGAATCAAGCTATACTGGGGGAAAACAGTGCTCCCATAGACCTCTAAGGCAAAACACTTTAGTATCAGGCCATAACAGCAGTCAGAACCAGAGGAGAAACAAGTCACGGGAGCTGACAAAAAAAATAAGGAGAGAGTTACACAAATCTGAGAAGCTTTCAAAAGAAATCACAGAATTAAAAAGCAAAAATTCTGGCAAGTTAGCGAATTAATATCTTAAGAAAACCTGGTTCCAACACATAGACTGTTTTCTAGAATGTCTACCACAGTTTTCCTTCAGTCACAGCCAGCTTAATCACATACCAAACTCCCCTCTCAAATTCCCTTTTACAAACACCATTATCATCCATACAGAGCATCCACGACATGTCTGGACCTTGTGACCTGTCCTGTACCATCTCCCTCTCAAAGAGTCAGTTAACTTTACTCTAGGACAAGAATCCACCATGCAAAATCCCTCATACAAAATTACTCTTTGTTTATATCCCCCCGCACAAAAAATACTATCTTTTATTCACACTTTCCTCACATTCCTCTTTTTTATTTGCCGATTCCTTCTTATTTTGAACCATGGCCTAAATGTGTTGCATATATTCTGTAGTTATGGTGAGGAAAGGGCTTTCAGTATTTAGTGATAATTGTAAAAAAGTTTAATATTTAATTCATTTCTGTTTCAGGTAGAACTCCATATTCATATGAAACATGAATTTTTT